GGGGGGGGGTTGTCTCTTTCACTTATCTCTGCTTAGATTAAGCTCCAGCATCAGCACCGCTATTTAGTAGACAGCACAAATCTTCTCAGAGTCCAATCAGCGAAATCAGAGGAAGAACCCTAATTTGATGTGAAGGTAATAAGATTTACGCCGGGCTGCGGAGGCTGGACGGGAGGGCAGGAGCTGATGGAAGGGGCCTCGGCTGGAGAGCACAAAACGATGGTAAAGGTAGCGGAGATGATGTCTGTGTGTGCGTGTAGGACCGATGTGTGCGTGAAGGAAAAGTCTGCCGTCGTCAGCGTATGTTGGTAACACACCCTCCCATTTTCTCCAACCTCAGCGAAACAGAAAGCAGCTCCACGGAAAAGGGTTTTTTCAACGTTCACACACACGAAACGTTTCCACAGAAACAGTTGAGGCCTGGGGGAGTCAATGCTCTGCATCGCGTCTCACATGACACTTGTTAGCAGGGTTCTGTTTCTATCGAGGGCCGGGCCGCCATCGATTAGTCAGTGAGTGAGTTATTCTCATCAGAGAGAGAGAGAGCACATTTCTCTCCCATTATGGAGTTATTTAAAGCGAAGGGAAAGGGGGTTGGAGAGATGATTATCAGGCTGACTAAGCTTCATTTTAAAAGTTCACTTACAGGAACTTTTCAGGGGGAAAAAAAGCTGATTTTTTTTCCCCCTCCCGGTTACTCAAATTAATTAAACATCTGTGAGGAACGACTTTCTACAAAACAAATAATCCCTTAGAAATCTGTGGACGTCTAGATTTGTGTTTCTGGAAAAACACGATTCCTTTAAGTTTCGCAAATGTCATTTTATTTTACTAACGTCTGAGAAACACTCGTATATTAAGGTGGCAGCTGATGTTTTAGAAACAGAGGCCTCTAAATCAGCATGGCTCAATAATATCACAATGGGTAAGTTAGTTTGTTCTGTGATTTTGGTCCCACTTCAGTAACTAGGTGAAGTGAAGAACTGCACTGTGACCTTCAGACGCAGTCACACCAGATATAGGTCCACGTTTTCCCCCTAAACAGCTTGAATTCAGCACAGGCTGTCCCAGTTAGACACCTCTCACCGCGACTTTCCTCGAAACTCAAGTCCCCGAGGTGCCCCCGCAACTGTCACAACCGCACATCTGTCACACCTGAACAGACCACATCCCACTGCAGCTCTTAATGTGGGCATCTTGAGAGAAATGAGAGTACATGACAGAAGTAAAACACAAGGGGAGGACGTGTTTCAGAGGCAGGTAGGTCACCCACAGTGGGAATGAGAGCAGGCGGTGACGAGTGGCACTTGTCAAATTAAACTGAACACGAACTCATCACCACATCAGCGTCCTTTAATAGAGCAACTCTTTCTTCTCGCACTCACCGGGTGGAAGCTGCTTCACGACCACGAAGGGGGAAAAGATGTGATTTATGGTGTTCAATCAATCAGATGATGGTTTTATCCACAAAGACTGTATCTATTAACATTTGGAGAATCAAATTTAGAGTTGCAACTATCAATTAATATACTGATTTAGCTTTTGATGATTGAACTAATTGTTTAGTGTCACAAAACAGCAAAAAATACTGTTTTCCAGAGCACAAGGCACCATCAAGCTGCTTAATTTGTCCAACATAAAGTCCAAAACAACACAAAAAAGCAGCAAATCCTCACATATAATATGAAAATGACTTGTTTTTTTGCCTGATAAATAACTTTCAACTATTAATAAACTAGTTATGGATCAAATTTCTGTCACCTGACACACCACTGTAGTTATTAAAGCTCAGCAACTGCAAAGAAATGCACCACTATGCTGTTCTCCACTTTAAAACGTTATCAAAACCTTTTCAGAAAGCATTTCATCATTGTGCTTATTGTTACAGGATAATTAAATCAATCACACAGTGAATCAGTGAGCTCTACTGTGATTATCTTCAAGCCCAGATTCTCACATACATCCAGATAAAAGGTAAACAGGTAAACAGACACATCAGCTGCTTCATTGTTGCACCCTGACAGCTTCATGTTACTGCTGACAGTGAACACAACATTTACTCCAACATATCTCACATGTGGCAGCTGGATGCAAAAAAAAAAGCAACTTTATGGTACAAAACCAAGTCCCAGAGAGTTTAAATACACCTGTCAGGCATAGCTGGTATTCCTAAAAGGGATTATGCAGTTCCTGGTTTGTTTGTTTTTTTTGTACAGCATTCCTCTGAACTTTATCAGCTGTGGGAATACTCTTCTGGTTAAGTCTTTTTACCTTTACCTTAATACTCACGTTTTATAACCTCAACGTGGAAGTTATAGCTCTTGTCTTGCTTTACAGGAGCTAATCTGTCGCTCACGTTAGCTCGCTGATTAGCTTTCTGGCTAAACATTCCTCAGTGTCCCAAAACACCGCCGCAGTCAAAGATCCCCACCCCCCCTGAACGTACCTTCTCTACTGCTACGGAGGCAGCCACTCGGAGGGAAAAGGAGACACTATGCAGGATTATTAAGATAAAATTCCCGTAAACTTGTCCCCTGTCGACTTTTACTTGTCAGGGTTTGTCAGGCAGCGGCGCTCCCGTCGCTCCTGCTCTTCCCTGGCCGGTGTAATCCACAGCAGTGCTCGCTCCCGTGGACTCCCGCCTGCCCTCTCACAACTTTGGCAACTACCTTCAGAGCGAAGATCGTCTTTTAAGAAGATGTGTCGCTCTGAAGCTGTTTTTTTTTTTCTTTTTCTTTTAGGTGGTACATTTTTAAACGTTACGACGGAGTATTAGGGCCATGCTAAGAGAAAATATATATATATATATATTCGAAATAACAAGAATAAAGTCACAATATTATGAGAATTAAGTCGTAATATTAGGTCTACGAGAATAAAGTAACATTACGAGAATAAAGCTCATTATTATTGTGAGAATAAAGTCATAATATTGTGGAGAATGAGAAGTCCTAAACACTTACGAGATAACAGTTCATAACATTAACGAGATAAAGTATAATATGTGTGAGATACAAGTGTCAATATTGGTGCGAGAATAAAGTGTAACCATTACACAAAATAAAGTGCGGGTAACATACGGAGAATTAAGGAGTCTCAATCTTCGTGAGAATAACGTCCCGTGAATCTTGTGAGAATAACAGTCGGTGAGACCATTACAAAATCATGTCCTGTACATTTTGACGGAGAATAAAGTCGTAATTCCACAAGATAAAGTTCGGTAACATTCCGGAGAATAAAGCAGTTCCATACATATGGTGAGGGCATAAAGTCGTATCCGAATAAGGTGCGACTATTGGTTGAGAATAAAGTCATATTTACGGAATAATCGTGGTGTACATATTGTGGGAATAAAGTCATTCAATCTTGTGAGCAATAAGTGCCGTAACATTACGAGAATTTAATGTGCATCAAATTTTTGGAGGAATACCAAGTCATTGGAACAATATTTACTGAGAATAAAAGTGCGTAACAGATTTCAGCGAGAATAAAGTCATAACATTCAGATAAAGTCTGTACGCATACGGAAGTAACGGTCGAGACATATTTGAGAACTAAAGGTCTGTCAAAAAAGCAATATTCGTGAGAATAACAGTCATCACATATTGTGGAAAGTCGTACTTACGAGAATACAATATTGTTGAGATAAAGTCGTAATATTACAAGATTAAATCGTAATATTGTGAGAAGTAAGATAACGATTAGCAGAAGAATATCGTAACAATTACAAGAATAATCATATATTACAAGAATAATCATGCAATATTGTGAGAATAAAATCGATTAATTATTGTGAGAATAAAGGTCGTAACATTACAAAATAAAGAGGAATATTTACAAGAAATAAAGTCGTTAAAGTTGCGAGAATAACAGGTCAGAATTATTGGAGAATAAAGTGGTAAAATTACAAACAATAACAGTGCGTAAAACATTACAAGAATAAAGTACGTGAATATTGTGAGAATAAAGTCGTAATATTGTGAGAATAAAGTCAGAATATTGTGAGAATAAAGTCAGAATATTGTGAGAATAAAGTCAGAATATTGTAAGAATAAAGTCGTAATATTACAAGAATAAAGTCAGAATATTGTGAGAATAAAGTCAGAATATTAGATTTACGAGAATAAATATTACGACTGTATTCTCGTAATATTAAGACTTTATTCACGTAATTCCCAGCCCCCCCAAAAACATTATTTTTTTTCTCTTAGTATTTTAAGCAAAAAAACAAAACCAACAAAAAAGTTTTATTTGACTGTTAATACAAGCGTTGGTCGTGTATATAGCACTACCTGAGGACCTATGTTTTGTTAGCATCAACTCATTCAAAATTTCATGTTTGGAGCAGAAACACACTCAAGAGTGAGAGCTCCTGTTTAATTTATACTCTGTGGTCCGAGGACTCAGGTGTTCGGGACGCGAACGGGGAATCAGCGCCACCTGACGGTTGTACCGTAGGACTACAAATACAATGCCGGATGAATGTAAATTGATGGGCACCTGCACAGTTTAAAGGTGCGGTAGATTTTGCCCTTTGCCCCGGTCAACTTACTCCTTTAACTTAAAGCAAGAAAGGGATTAAAGAGTAAACATCATTTCCCACCATCAGTTTCATTTGGCACAGACAGTAAACATGTTTGGGATCACAAAAATATAACTAAAAATGCAACACGTTAAAAAAACGTTAGTACTTTCTGCGTAGGGAACGCTATGTGACGGAATCACGTTGTAACGTAAGGAGTGGTGAGGTCACAAATGGGGCTGCTTCCACCTGTGGTTGCCTGGTAACAAAACACAGATCTCCAAAATCATCTTTTGATAAATACTGCATCAAAATAAGCAACTTAAAAACATCTAAATGCTGTACTTACATCCCTTACAGATACTAAACCAATTACAGAACAAATTAATACGCAATTTTAATGATCATTTCAGGGCCAAGCAACACTAAATGGCCACAAATAAGTGGACACCCAATAATTACACCCTTATTTAACTGCTGATCTTACTATAGCCTTCACTCCTCTCTCCAACACTCACATTGGACTCAGAGTCCAACACGTTGTGCTGGGTTGAGTTCAGGGCTCTCCTTATGGATCACAGTAGCATTATACTGAAACCAGAAAGACCCACATTCAAACTATTGCCCTGTTAAAAGGACAATATCGAGTAAAATCTAAATTTATATCATTAAAATGTAATTTAATTGGAACTACGGAGCCTATCGCAAATATGAAAAGCAGTCTCAGATCAAAAGAAAACATTATGCGCTTCCTTCAAGATTACCAGTATCAGTGATTTCAGAAAATGCAGCATGAAATGACTCATTAAAAGCATTTGTTTGCATCACTCTTGCTAAAAAACAGTTAGGAAGTCTTAAACCAGACACAAAAGAGCAGACATGCAACACGTGTTTTTCTCATAATTATTTAATCACACATACATTTACATCATGCAATCAATCCAAAACTGTGATCTCATGAACTTCCCATCTCTGTCCATATCAGAGCCCTGCTATTTGTGCCCCAGTTCTCCAGGAATGATCCAGTACCTTGTCCACTGATGGATCCTCAAAACTGTCCTTTAAAAATTGACCAACTATTACACAGTAATAAAAAAAGTGGCTACACTTTGTTTTTTTTAAATTTAGAATTAATGCAAAATTCAATTTAGGTAAACACCACAAATATTCTTTGCCGTTTTTATCTACTATTGTTTTTGTTTTTTCCCCATTTCATATCCAGTTTTGGTGGTAGGTCAAAGGATAAACATTTTGAGGTCCATGCTGCAAAGTCTTAACTAATCTAGAAGATTACACAGAGGGAATAAACCATCGCGATAGACACCAAACACTGTCCTGTCATAGATATGGGGGGAGCGACTCCTCCTGCAGCTTGTAAAAAGTCATTAATACTACTTATAGATTATTTGCTGTCAACAAACAGTTCCACGTACAGGGCTTTGGAAACTACTTCTCCCTCCAGTCACAAACAGCCACATATGGAGTGTTTTTATGAGTGCAGGTATTGTGAAGAAGTGCTATAAAAACCCAACCTTCCTTTTACAAGACGGCAGGTTTTATAGCGTGACATCTTACGAAAGAAAAGCCGAAATTCCTACCCCACCCTTTTTTACCAGCTACATTTGTTCCACTAGTCTCAGCCCAAAAAAGAAGTGAAGTCTCAAAAGCTGAAGCTAATTTAAAGTATCTACCACTGCACTTGTTGGTGAAGTCTGATCATCTCGTCGTCTGCAGGGAGTTTACTGTCCAGCGCAGTAGTAGATACAGTCCAGAAAAACCCGCTGTATCGTGTTTCAGGGCAATGAAAGAAGCGCTCAATACACTGAGAACCAAACGTTAGTGGAACAGAAGCTAACAAAGGAAGAGAGGGGGCAGAACTTTGACTCCATGTGGCAGGTTTACCGCTGCAAGCACACCCTGATCACACCTGCCAGTCGACTGATATACAGTGTATTTTACAGTATATTGCACTTGCACAAGATGTTAGTGTTCTCACGCTGGGGTTACAATCACTACAAGCTCTTTGCCAATGCACTGGGGCTTCATCACAGGGTTAATGAAACAAAAAAAAAAAAAAACAAGCTGTGGTGGGAATTAAAATGAAAACAAACAAAAAAATCATGAAATGACACTAAAAAAATACAACAAAGACAGCAGAACACAATAAATCCTACACCCCTGACTAGATTTAGTTAAATAAACGCTTCCTCCAGATGATGACAGAAGATTGTTGTGCAATTTTAGACCCTGCTCTCCTGATTGGTTGATCAGCGGCAAGGGTCTGACCCCATCGACCGACACACACCCTCCCCGCCCTTCAAATATGCATCTACACGATCTATGGAACAATGAAGGAGATACAGTACATTAAAAACCCAGCAAAACAAATTGCTATCTGCAAATTTACAACCAAAAAAAGGGGGGGGGGGGGCACGGGGGCACGTACAGTTTACTCTAAGGAATCTCTAGAACAACAAAAGGGTGTGAGAGGGAAGAAGAAACAAAAAAAAATATGAATAACCCAAACAAAGCGAGAGGCACCTATGAAACGAGAAGATGAGAGCACGGATTCAAAACGGCGTTCCTTATCAGGATGGTTACCAACTAAAAACCAAAGAACAGGTCCTGGGAAGGTGTGAGACTCGACCCCGCTGGGACAGACGAGCCGTTCGTTGGGTGTGTAGCCTGCGCCTTCTCGAGTGCTAACACGCCTGCAGTGCTAATTGTGCTCAATGTGCAGAGAGACTATAAAATAAGCGTCCATTCCAACACGCCAGCATTATTCACCACGTGAAGAAGTAGATAAACACCAGTACATTTAGCTGTACCTTAGCATAGGGCTATGCTAAGAACAGGTGGGAAGTTTTCTGGTGGCTTAACCGATCATTCTCCTCCCCGCTTCCGTTTCTACATTCCTTTCATGCGCTTCTCCGACTGAAGTCCACCAATAACACAGTCATAGGTTTTAGGTTTAACTTAAATTGGATAGAAAACAATTGGCCTCCACAAGCATACTCTTCGTTAGACACTCATCTACAGTACCCGATGTCGGGCACGTCTCGTCTGGCTTTCTTTTTCTTCTTGTTCTTGTTAACTCCTGTCTTTTTAGCATCGTATACGCGCCAATAAATGCGCTCCATCAGTCTGCTCTCTCTCTCCTCTCTATCTGCTTCCAAGTCGCAGCTGGCGTGGAAGATGCCGAGGTGTGGCGACAGTGCCAATGCTCAGTCATGTCATGAGACATACATGTACAAAAACGCGAAGCGAAACTACCGGTAAGAGTCAGCTCAGCGGCCAAGAGGTTCCAACTTCAACACATCCTGTTCGAACCAACTTTTCTTTTGCTATGTGTATCGTAATATCTTCTGGTAACAGAGCATGGTAAAATATATGCCAGACCGAAATGCCTTGACTGCTCTTACAGACTCTTGTCATTTAGAAACAGAAA